GAAGAGTCCATGTGGTGATGGAAACAGAACTTAAAGTACGAGTGTCAATATCTTAATTAATACTGTACCACTTTCTGCAAGATGTTTTCACAGAAGAAAACTCTAAAGAACGTATGAAATTCTCTGTATTATTTATTAAAGTTCATGTGAACCTTCAATTTCTCAAAATAAAAAATTTATAAGATAAAAATAAAATAGTGTTCTTTAAGGCCAGTTAATACATAGGGGAAGTTTTATGTATTTTTTCCCCTTGCATTCAATGGTTGCCAGAACATAAGGAACTGCTAGCTGCCTAAATATCCAAAAATTGGAGAAAAGAATAAATAGCTCTTAATGGAAATATTATACAATTTAAAATGATAAATATGGAAAAATGAAATGATAAAAATGGGATTTCTAGGAAGACAACTTCAGTGCTTGCTTCTAAAGTGTTCTAGCTCCTACAAAATTCCCTCTGAAATGATGAAAGGAACACAAATCACAATACCTGTGATTATAATCATGTATATTACAAGAACAAAACAGATAAAGGCAACAACCACAGGATCAAAGAGGATTAAAACCCACCAACCATACAGTTAGGATATTTCATTCCTCATTCAAAGTCCTAATAAAACCATGAGAAATTATTTTTTAGCCAAACGTGCAAGGACTGAGCAATCAGATATACAAAATACTTAGGAATGCATAAAAAAAGAACACAGGGCACCTGGCTGGCTCAGTTGGTTAAGCATCTGACTCTTCCTATCACCTTAGGTCATGATCCAGGGTTGTGGGACTGAACCCCACGCTGAGTGTGGAACTTGCTTAAGATTCTCTCTCCTTCCTCCTATATCTGCCCCCCTCACACTCTCTCTCAAAAAATAAAGAAAAAAAAAAAAGGAACAACAATCAAATAGGAAAAATAAACAGGTAAAAGATGTGAATAACCTCTCACTGGAAATGACACCAATAGTTCAAAACAGGTAAAAAAAAGTTCAATTTCATTAATCACTAAGAATATGAAAAACAGTAACACAGTAAGAAAGAATTTCAAACCATGAGGACAGTGATAATTAACAATTCTGACAAAAAGTGTTGTCAAGGACTGGAAATTAGTAGTCTGGTAGACAAAGACTTACAAAGGACTCAAATATTTATAGACCACCATTTGAGCAAAAACATAAGCAAACATAACTAAGGACGAATATTTAGAGAACGTCAGGATCACTTAGTTACAACCTACAAAGAACTGTTAAGTGACCTACACTTTATGCTTTAAAGTGCTTTTAGTGAGACTTTTTGGTAAGACCTTTCAAATCACAGTAAATTATACCATATGACATCTTAAAATATAATGCTTCTAACTAGACCTAATAATAATAGACATTCAGGAAACATTTGATAACTCAAAAGGGCTATGCATCGATGATAGGATTTTTACTATGATTATAGTTAAAGAATCCTGCCAATATTAGAAAAAAAAAGGAAAAATTGATACCACGCCATCTTTCTGACACTATGGCTATTACAGATACATCACCATTTCAGAAGTCATCTCTTAAATTAACTTTTACATTATCCACAAAATCTTCCCAATATTGATTTCCTTCCCCCTGCTTTGATATATTCAGTGGATTAAAAAAATATACAAAAAATTCCATCACATTACTAAGATTCACCCATTTGTTAAATTCCTCTAATATATTAATTTTCACTGTTGTATGTATTTATCCTGTTACTACTTACAGGTACTTGGTTCTTTACAGTTCGAGTTTAATACAAGTAAGTTGCTACATTTTTTTTTTTCTTGATAAAGATATTTTTAAGTAATCTCTATATCCAACATGGGGCTCAAATTTACTGAGATCAACAGTTGCCTGCTCTTTCCAACTCATCTAGCCAGGCACCCTGCTACAGATCTTTTGAACATGTATCCTGATACACAGTGATGAATTTTTTTAGGGTACACATTCAGAAATACAACAGGTGTATCGCAGAACACAAAACATGTATTTTGACAGATGTCAAACAGTTTTCTCATTTATTGTACCAACTAAAGTTACCAAGAGCAATGCAAATTACTTTCAACAAGAAATACTGTGGTTCTAATGCCTATGGTTACCAGAATAATCGTTTATGAACAATGGCATATGATTTTATCTTCCTAATCTATATATTCTCCAGCCAACTTTGCCAACTACAGAGACTGAATATAAAAAAGTGCCCAATTAGATTAATGCAGATAAGTTGTCAGCGACTCTTGAGTTCTTTCTGAATCTTACTTCTATTTTTTATATACGTTATTTCAGAGAACCACTGCAGTTTCGTGTATTATTTTATCTCTGTAATTATAAATGTCTATTTATTATAGCAAATAACATTCCCCTGCATTTCCAAATGCAAAAGTATGCAAAAATAAAAGTCGCCAGAGGAAGTTAAACAAACTGAAATAACCTGAGTGAAAAATATGATTATTCTGTGATGGAAATTATAACTAAATAAAAACTAATGTTAAATTCTGACTAGAATAAAAAAGCAACAACCAATTCTTCATGAAAGATTCTCTGTGAAATTTGTTAGTAAGTATATATTGACAAAACACAAATATATCTAATTAATTCTACTTAAGATGAGATGGTACTACTTTACTATTTGAATTACTACCTTAAAGCAATCAAAAAGATGATCAAGTTGTTCAGGAGAAAAATCCCAAGCCAACTTTGCCAGCAGATCATGTACATTCTTCACAATGGCTTCATGTTTCCCTGCCTGTTGAAAAACAGTATGAAATATATCAAAGTAAACAAAAGAATCACAGTGTATTTAAGTTTAAATAAAGAAATGAACTAAGTAAGTAGACTACTGTGTCCACTTCTTTATAATAAATAAAGTATTTCCACCTGCATCATCTGAGGTTAATGTTTTAAATGCTTTAGAGCTGCCACATATACCATTTTATACTCATTTATTGGTATAAATGGTAATGTACTTTCAGGATTCAAATGAAAATTTATTACAGATATTTCTAAATAAAATGAAGAGAAAATAAGGCAAAATAGTGGATCATCTCAAAACTGCATACTTAAGTACTCAATGATGGGAAGACTAAATATTTTGTTAGTTTTTCCTTAAAAAGAGTGGGCTGGGCAGGACTCTGTAATCCTTCCAACTTATTCATGAAAAAAAATAGTATTATTCTTCTAACATTTGTTCCTTCATACAGTTCGCAAGAAAAAAAACCAAATTTATTATTGTTGTAAGTCTATATGTAATACATATAACTGTTGTATAAATTGTGATTTACACCTGCAAAGGACGTCAAGATCAGAGTAACTTGTTTTTTCACTTAAAAATATTCTTTTTTTTAAAAGATTTTATTTATTTGACAGAGAGAGACACAGCAAGAGAGAGAAACAAGCAGGGGGGAATGGGAGAGGGAGAAGCAGGCTTCCCGCTGAGCAGGGAGCCCGATGTGGGGCTTGATCCCAGCACCCTGGGATCATGATCTGAGCCGAAGGCAGACACTTAATGACTGAGCCACCCAGGCGCCCCTCATTTAAAAATATTCTTAACAGAATTCTGTGTATATCAAGGAGTTAAACTTAAAATCAAGTAATACAAATTCATATGCCAACACCTAATAACTAATGCAAAATACTAATTTTTAGTATCTTTTTTTATAAAGTAGCTATCATCTTCAATTCCTTACCTGTGCTGCCCAGATGTTATCAAGATCCTGTAATGTAAGAGCTTTTTCTTTAATCACAAAACGAAGAATCTTCTCTAGCTTTTCCACATACTGAGGTTGATGAAGACTATCTCGCAAGACTATGGATAAGATATTGTTCTGTTGTATCCATTCCTAAATGTAATACAAAAATTTCTTTCAAGCAGAAGCTACAATCAGGGTGGGAAAAATTACAATTACAAGATAATTAAGTACTGGGAATGTAAATGCACAACATGGTAGCAATATTCAACGCTGCTGTATGACATAAAGAGAACATATATATATTTTTAAGATTTTATTTATTTATTTGATAAAGATAGAGAGCACAAGTAGGCAGAGCAGCAGGCAGGGTGAGAGGGAGAGGCAGGGAGCCTGACGCAGGGCTTGATTCCAGGAACCTGGGATCAAGACCTGAGCCAAAGGCAAACGCTTAATCTACTGAGCCACCGAGGCAACCCTCTTTTTTTTTTTTTTTTTAAGATTTTATTTATTGAGAGAGAAAGAGAGAGAAGGAGAGAGCATGAGTGCGGGGGAGGGGCAGAGGTAGAGGGAGAAGCAGACTCCTTGCCCAGCAGGGAGCCCGATCCCAATCCTAGGAATCTGGGATCAGAACCTGAGCTGAAGGCACATGGTTAATTGAATGAGCCACCCAGGCGCCCCCAGACAGTATATTCTAAGAGTTCGCAAAAACAGGATAAAAATACTTTTTCCTTTTAAAAAAACTATAGATGATGACAGATGCTAACTAAATTTACTGTGGTAATTATTTGACAACACAGGTTCAAACTGTGTTGAGTCCATGTATGCACAGTTATTTCCCCTTCCTCATGATTTACTTAATAACATTTTCTTTTTCTTGATTACTTTATTGTAAGAATATATATTACATAATACACATATAAAATATGTGCTAATTGACTTTTGTAATAAGTAAGGCTTTTAGTAGTTAAAGTTTTGGTGTCTCAAGTTGTATGAGGATTTTCAGTTATGCAGGGTGTCAATGCCCATAATCCCTGCACTGTTTAAAGATCAACTGTAGGGGTGCTCAGGGTGGCTCAGTCAGTTAAGTGTCTGCCTTCGGCTCAGGTCATGGTCTCCAGGTCCTGGGATGGAGCCTGCCTCACACTCCTGGCTCAGCAGGGACTCTGCTTCTCCCTCTCCCTCTGCCTTTGCCTCTTCGCCCCTGCTCATGCTCTCTGTCTCAAATAAATGTTAGAAAAAAAAAAAGGTCAGCTATATATGTTAATTCAGTCATTATACTGTGTGCTTAAACTTATATAGTCATATATATCAATTACATCTCAAAAACTGAAAAAAATAAAAGTAAAAATTAAAATATAGTTCAGATTTCTGAATAACATTGGATTACATCATGTTTACATTTATAAATTATAACACACTAATGTAATATGTTTATGTATTGTTTTAGTGCAAAATATTCAGTATTACACAAAATCTAATATTGCACACAAAATGCTCCCAGAGGTACTAAACTTAAAAATTGTATCCCATATAATGTGTTTATTATGGTTTTAATAAAAAATATTACAATAAACAGTTGTACAGAATTTAATTTTTCACATACAGAAATGGTCCCATAAAAATGTACCTCAGCACATTCCTCATACTATCTGTGAGAATAATCAGTGTTATATTTCCCCATCTGTCTTACATTCTTTTTTTTTTTTTAAAGATTTTATTTATTTATTCATGAGAGACAGAGAGAGAGGCAGAGGGAGAAGCAGGCTCCCCACTGAGCAAGGAGCCCGATGCTGGACTCGATCCCAGGACCCTGGGATCATGACCTGAGCCGAAGGCAGATGCTTAACCATCTGAGCCACCCAGGCGCCCCATCTGTCTTACATTCTTTTTTTTTTTTTAAAGATTTTATTTATTTATTCATGAGAGACAGAGAGAGAGGCAGAGGGAGAAGCAGGCTCCCCACTGAGCAAGGAGCCCGATGCTGGACTCGATCCCAGGACCCTGGGATCATGACCTGAGCCGAAGGCAGATGCTTAACCATCTGAGCCACCCAGGCGCCCCATCTGTCTTACATTCTTTGGGGGAAAAAAAAATCAAGAGAAATGCCACAGCAATGACATTGCTTCCAAAAGTTTCTCAACACTCTCATTTTCTGTACCTTTCAAGGACTGGTAATAATTCACAGACAAGTGGACATTTTAAGTAGTTAAATGCTTGATGTTTCACAAAGTAGATAAACTGCATACTTGAAACCTGACACCTAACACGGAGTCAGAACCTAGGGTCTAGGTTACATACCATTTCTCAATAACCAAGAGTCCTCAAATACCTTTTACATTTTGATCATCTTCACTATTTTAAAAAAACATATACCAGGCTCCATGCCCATTGTGAGGCTTGAACTCACAACCCTGAGATTGAGAGTCACACACTCTACTGACTGAGCCAGCTAGGTGCCCCAATCATTTTCACTATTAAACTAAGGACTCATTTAAGGTGGAGATCACTCTTCACACATACATACCCACTACTAGCATACGATATACACTCAAAATATATTACCAAGCAAATACCTTACAAGGCTACTGGACAGTATTCATTTCAACACTTAAACATATAAATATCTATTTAAACTGTTCCCTTTCAATGCCAAAATGATAGATATAAGTGATTTAAAAATTAAGTTTCAGGGATTGCTGGGTGGCTCAGTGAGTTAAGCATCTGCCTTCAGCTCAGGTCATGATCCCGTAGTCCTGGGATCAGGTCCTGCATCAGGTTCCTTGCTCAGCAGGGAACCTGCTTCTCCCTCTGCCTGGCACTCCCCCTGCTTGTGTTCTCTCTCTGGCAAATAAATAAAATCTTAAAAAAAAATTAAGTTTTAAAAATCATGACAGAACATTAAATCAGAGATTTTATTCAATTATAAGCCTCACTTTTAGAACTCGAAACCGAACTGAGTTTGCGTAATGCCAATTCATTCACTAGATTCCAGATCTACCCATCTACCTACTGCATTTCAGCCAACCCACCAAACTGTAATTGCATCATTAATAACTGTATTCAACAACGGTAAGCTTACCAAAGACACAATAGGTTTAAGGTTAACAGAAAGCAACAGTTTACTTATTAACAAATCATTTCTTATTACCCGTTAAAAAAGTTTTAGGATTTAATCATCATGAATCAATGTCTCAATTTGAGTTACTTTCCGTCACTGTTTACATTTACACATTAGCACTAATTGGTGCTAATCTTATTCATAACTGGTGCAGATTTTTATTCACAAAAGAAAAATCAAAGGGACTTACTGCCATTCGATCAGCTGTCAGCCACTCTTCCTCCTCAGGATTACCATGCCGATGAGTATAATATGATACACTAGATATCACTTTGTTAATTTCATTCAGTGCATTCATCTTTCCATTAAAAGAAGAAATCTGCAACAACCTGCAAGAGAAATTTTGATTAAGTATCATTTTAAACAGTCAAGCAAATAATTATTTAAAGGGGGAAGTATCTTACCTGAGTATCATTTTCAACCTAAAAATTTCTAAATTTTTTACAGTTTCTTCTTGTCCTGGAATTCTGGAAGCCAAATTCTTCAGAGATTTAATGATCATCGAAAGGGCATCATTTTTTGTTTCATTCTTTGCTTCTTTTTTTAGTTCTTCATCAGTTAAATTTTCTAAAAACTGAGGAACTATTTCTACAACTGGAAGAAAGTATTTTCTCACTGTATATTGACTGAGAAACTCATAGCATTGTCCAAATGGTCTGAAATAAGGAAAACAGAATTTCTGCTAATATCTGTATTCTCCTAACACGTACTTTTAGTTTTAATACTTAGAAAAATGTCATATTTCCAATTTAAAATTAAGAAAGTAGACTAGAAAACTAACTTTTAATGATTTTCAAGGCAATACAATAAGGACAATAAATATTAAACTTTAAAAATGTAACTTACTTAAT